TATAATAGGGCAAGACATTCAGGGATTTACCCTATAGAAATTCATTCAGACACTAAATCTAACAGTTCTTCATTTTATATCAGGTAATGTACTCATCACGCAAACAAGTAAGTTTGAAGATGGGAATAGATATACATATGAGCTTTAGCAATTACAAAAACATTACTGTGACTGTGATTTTTGTCATCACAGGGTTTTCTTTTTAATGAATTGGATGACATAAAATAATATATAAAATAATTTAGTGCAGCACCTGGTATTACTTTCAAAGTCACTATTTCAAAGCCATGATGAACATCTATACCAAGGAATATAACAAGGATAATATCTATAGGATGCTACATCAAAGTAACGTATATAAGCATTGGAACCTGTAGCTCTAATAGTAAATTAAAGGGGGCAGGAGAGAAAATATAAACCAAAGAACTTATATGCATATATGCACAAAACATGGACACTGACAAAAGTATGCTGAGGCCTGCAGAGGGGATAGGTGTGAGGAAGATGTGGTCAATAGGAGGGGAAGAAGGGAAATATATGTATTATTTTCAATAATAAATATAAATTTTAAAAAGCATTAAGTTAAAATTTACAAGTCTGGCATGAAAGATCAGAGCTCTGAAATTTGGAAAATTTTACATAATATAAAGTCTTCCTCAGCATATTGATTGAAAATTAAAGATTTAGCAGAGTGTGAATTTGAAGAAGTGAAGGTATCTTGCACATAGAAAGACCCACAGAAGCAAAAGTAGACAGGGCCGCATACAGAAGTCTTTTCAATAAAAGTAGAATAATTTGATCTGACTGGAACAGAGGGTAGGTCAAGAAGTTAAAGCTGGATAGTGGGCCTAGGGCAACCAGATGAAGGAGCTTAAAGGAGGGGGTAATTTGTTTGTATAAAATATAGCAGATCTATATAATGGCACAATACAGACTATTCATTCTATTATAAACAGTCTCTAAAGTTTTCCCCAGAGCAAAAGTGGAAAATATCAAGAAAAACTTGGAAGGAAATGTTTTGTCCATTTTTATTCCAAAGCCCAATTTAAAAAAATGATTACAATAAGAAGTGGCACTTATGACAAACAATAGGTTATACAGACAGCAAGACTGATATATAAAAATAAACACAAAATTTCTAAGTCTTCTTAGGGCATAAATAAAAAGTTGTAGAAATTTATGTACTATTTCCAAATAAGTCTCAAACTACAGCAGAAATCATTCATTTTACCCTTTAGTAGAAAACCAAAATATCAAAACCCATCTAAAATGTTGTAGGACAAACACATCTTTTATAGAAGCATCTCATTCAGAGGTGTCTGAAAGTCTTCCAAAATGATTGGTGAGTACTTGGTGAACTTCACCAGAGGACTGAAAACTTTTTGAGAGCAGGGCTTTTACATGAGTCACTAGTACTAACTTAGAGACCCAGGAATATGGTGTTTAGCAATTGAATCAAATTATGCACACATTGCCGAGAAATATAAAAAGTTTACACAATGTACCATGACACGGTACTTAGAAATAAGAGTCAAACAAGTGAGCATTTGCCTGATATATTGTCCAATTTTTAGATTTCACAAATAGATCAAGCAGTTAGGTTAAAGAGTTTGTTATGAGACTATCCAGGTTGAAAACATTTTATCTGTGACCCTCTGCCTTACCTTTTCCACATCGCCCAGGCCCTCAGTGTCCAGAAGGACCAGAGTGCAATCAGGCTTACAGGGGTGAGGCACACACCACATCCAGATGCCCTTGGTTTTAGACTGCACCGTGGAGCCCAGAGGGAAACCTATAAAGGAAGGGGAGACCCAGTGACAACAGACAATCTAAGCAGCCAAGTGGCTACAAAATCAGACTTTTGGGAATGGAATTACCCCAAGATATAAGATTGTGCTTTATCTATTTTATAAGAATGCTTTACGCCGAAACCGGTTTGGCTGAGTGGATAGAGCGTCGGCCTGCGGACTGAAAGGTCCCAGGTTCGATTCCGGTCAAGGGCATGTATCTGGGTTGCAGGCACATCCCCAGTTGGAGATGTGCAGGAGGCAGCTGATCAATGTTTCTCTCTCATCGATGTTTCTAACTCTCTCTCCCTT